GATATATCTATTCCAGAATAAATGTTGTATCTTTAAAGCGCCCAAAAATGATCCTCGAAATTAGCCTTGTGACCTACCTTAGTATCTTTTATTGCGATAATTAAAAATCTTAGAAGTGGATGGAATGAATGAATCGTATTAAATCATGGCACAACTATTTAAATGTCGTGAAACTTCGGGCTCAATTTCAAAAAAGCTTTCTAACTGCAACTGAATTCGAATAAAATTAGAGTAGATAATGGAAGTCTACTATGAACAATTTGAGACCTCGATAAGTATCGGTCGCTCCATTGTAAAATTGCTTTCATCCTATAAAGTAAAAACAGTTTAGTTATTTGCTATGAACAGCTTGCAGTCTACTGCTATGCTCAATAAAGTTCGCGAAATAATTCCGGTAATACATACGCCGTGATCATCTTGACCCTGGGTCTTTTTTTAATTATGAATTTTATAAAATTGCAAAAATGATATATACACAAGAAAACATAGAGTTGATACACAAGTTCGTAGCGTTTTTGTTGAATTTAAGATGTATTTCTTTTTAATAAACGAAATCACGAACTAGTCAAAGATATATTCTGCTCCATTGTTTTGATTACCGCTCAACCATATGGTAGTTTTTTATTCCACGTCTAACGAAACTGGGTGGTTTGAAAGCGGACAACACTAAATCATCAAGTGATACATCGTTAAAAATAGGTTGTTCGATAGAAACCGGAAGAGATGTAAATTCGACGAAGCAAGTTTAGGAGAATAGAACGAATCTATACTTTCCTCTTCAGTTTTGGATGAGAGCGGGTGATATCTGTTGCAAAAGGTAGAGCATCGTTCATCTCAAAATGGCCCTCTTTAAAACGAGAAACTTTCTTCGTGCTGTATGTTCTCCAAAGGCATTCTCTCTGTAAACGGTGCAAGTAGTTTTACCGGCATCCGTAGCCTTAACTTCCCTATTGAATTCAAACAAATGGATATGTCGGAAATGTCCGTTTTTTCTTCTATTAGACACCCCATTTCCTTTTGCACGCACATAAGTTCAGTTCAATAATGTAATACTCTCATAGTAGTGGTACACCTTTAAATTTGAACAAGATCTACCCGGAAACTCGAAAACGTCTCGACATTCATAAATTCATACTCATTCAATTTTCAAAATAATCAGTTCCGTCGAAATTATGGTGTTCTTCTTAAGATTACCTTCCAATATCTCGTTTATATATTTGTATTCCAATTCACTGGATTTTTTCCTTTAATTGGGTAAATTATTTGCCTAACTGTTTTCTATCTGCATCAAACATCTTCAGAGCTATTTGAATAAATATACCTTTTTTAAATAGAAAACTCTGAAACTACATCCCGTGTACCTTCATACTTAATATGTTACGACAACCAACATTTATTTAAAAAATATGTTGTAGTTGTTTTTGGTACAGACATTAATTACAAGAATTATCCAGAACTTTCTCTTGCATTGTCCAGAATTATACAGCCTCAGATCTCCTAAGCAGACCGTCATCTCCAGGTACTTTAATTCAACCATTATTCTTAGGGCCCTTAATTATAAGAAAGAGCTAGATTTAATAGACGCAAAGCCCTCTAGTTGACCATTCAGAATTTCCATTTAGGAGCAGGATGCTGTTGAAATTAATTAAACTTTATCTTGGGACATGTTAGGAGAACGTACTTTATAGTCTTGCCACATTATTATTAACCTCTTAAAATTGTATACGTTTCGTACTATTATTATCACATAAACGCCTTAGAACCTTCCTGGAAATTATACTGTTATACATATACGACGTACAAATTTATGTAAATAAGGAGCTTCAAATTGACTGCTTATTATTAATATATGTCTTATTGTCTTCCGAAAAATTAATATATGTGTTGAATGAAAATAATAATTTTAGTAATATTATTTTTTTCAATAAGAAAAGTATTCTACCTAAAGAGTTTAAATATGATAAAGACAAAAATCTATTATCCAGACGGTACATCAAAAACATAATTGGATCGATTATTAGCAAAATTTGTTCTCATATGAAAACCGCTGTGAAATGAATTGGAAACCAAAGTTGGATTAGTTGTCACTGCCAGTCATTAATTACCATTAAAATAATTTAAAGGTATGTCTACATACATTTTCTACTTGACTGAGGCAATGAATGAGCCAGGGATGTCACAGACAAACTTAATTGTTATTTTGAAGGCTTCCCTGGCAGTTGTCAATGGTTGAACAATTTCCGGGTTGATTGCGACGTCGTCGATTTAGAATTCTTGATAATGATGAAGAGACTGTAAAAATGGAGATTATATCATCTATTCGGTATTTGTATTTGATACACATAGCCAATTCGTACAAATAGGACGTGAACGATGAGTTCACTTTCCAGTACAAAAAAAAAGTATTGTCAATACATTAACACAACGAGCAGGCGCCGTCTGCAGACCAGATCACTCGGGCATCAACTACGGTCAACTCTCAAAAAAAAATGGATTTACTACCAGAAGCATTGAACTAGCCAGTAGATAGATACCTAAAAGAACAAGGGGAATGAAATATCTGGCGACAAGCTATCTATCCGGTACAACAAAAATATACTGACAATATAGGCGGTCTCTTAAGAAAACAGTGTTAATACCGTCTAGAACCACATGGACGATGATCCAGCCTTCCTCAAGACGAGTTGCAAGAAGGGTGGTGCTCCAGGGTCCCAGTTTATGCAGCATCATATGCACCTGCATAATGCAAAGTATATAATATGGAACAAAAAGTGAGACAATTATCCCAAAGTTAAAGGCACATAAGAATCCAGTTTTTGCGAAATACAGCACAGATTCAGGGATAATTAGAGAGAAGATTTTGACCAGGACTACACAGAAGCAATAGAAATCCAAAAAAATCGAAATGATTTCAATCAAGACCAGGAGTTACTTGCAATTTGGAAACAATCATCCTTATGAGTCAATTACCAGAACGTCATATACACACAGCAAATACAGGGTATAATATAAATTAACTAACAAACTTCCAAGGCATATCGAACTCACAATAATAATGCGGTAATCTTTTTTCTAAAATGCTTCGTTGTAGAAACAGACAGTGTTGAAGTTCCCAGAAAAATTAAAATTACTTTCTAGTTAACAGTAAGAAAGTTTGTTGAAAAGTGACGTATAAGTGGATCTGTCCGTAATGGAAAACTAACGGTAGATACTAACACTGTGTATTACTGAAAACCAACAGTCAGTTGCACATACTATTACCAGAAGCCCACAGTTGCTTATATAGTATGCTCCATAAAAAAATCATTTTGTTGATACTTCTATCATTCCTATAAAAAGCCCTGAGAATGGTAAATTTGTCTTCAGTTTTGTACACGTTTTTTAAAGGATCATATGGATGTCTGTCTCTTTATGAGCGATGAAGCACATTTTTACCTGAATGATAATGTAAACAATAAAAATTTATTGGTCAGAAGAAAACTCATAGACCACTGAATTCGTCTAAAGTCACAGTATGGTCGAATTATTAGGCCCTATTTCTTCGAAGAAAATGGTAATCCTGTAAGCAAAGATGTAACGGACTATTAAGGCCTCAAGTGGAAAGTTACCTGAGAAATATTGGATACAACAGGATAGTGCTACCAGTCATACAACAAAAATTTCCGTGGAAGTATTGCGAGAATTTTTCCCTCAGCTGTTAACTTCACGTTTACCATACCAGATTTTTTTGTAATAATTTTGTTAGGCGCTTATAAGAGTGCATCAAGGAAGAAGGAGAACATTTGATAGACTCATCTTTCACTAGTGGCAACTTTTCGTTGTATTAAATTTAAAACAATTGACATAAATATATCAGACACATCACTCATCAAAAATTCATTAAACTTTTAGAAATCTAATCTGATAATACTGTACTATAAATTGTGTTACAACAGTCTTGGCTGTCTAACTAGTCCCATGTTACACAACCAAGTAGAATTTAATTATAACTAATTTAATAAAATTCAACAGAATACAAACACTAAACGACTTCATGCCTCACTTCTCAAATGAATTAAGACAGTAGCTAATAAACAATTCACCAATTAGGCCCTTAACGTAGAAAGAGAAGCAATCAGCTGTATAGACCTGTAAGAAGATTAAACTTCTTAGTTAGATTAAAGACTAGATGAATGTGCAATTTAGATAAGATCCTTTTAATATGTTAATACGGTTCTGTAAAGATATTAGTCTCTTAAACAGAAAACATATGCATATTCTACAATGGAAGTTTATACTTATAGTTTTATACTTGGTTAATGCCGAAATACGTTTATCTCTGTAAACATTTCAAGGATTATCTCAGGTATATAGGTACCTCAGAAAAGTAAATCCTGTATATATACAGAATTTAGGAATATGAAACAGCCATCCTTTCGAGTAGAATCAATTTCCGCTCCATTTTGAGTCTTTCCAAAGTATTTGAAGAGCGTATTTGTTGATATACGAGGAATATCTCATTATAGGTATTATTATAAGTACTGAATTTATAAAAGAATCTCAATGGACTTTAAAGCATATTTGAATATTGTCCGTAATTTCCATTTCTTGCATATTAATATATTTTTAAAAACCGGCTCCTGATATTCCTTTCAGATTTTTATTTTACGATAAAGGTAGATACGAAACAATCAGAAGACATTTTGCTTTTTTCTATGTGTTATAGAAAAAAACTGTAATGAAAGTAAATGATGATTTTAATTAATAAAGTTCACTAAAACCTTATAAAAATTTAAAGAAGACAGTGTCAGTCTATATTTTTTCTATTATGTGTAGAATTTCTTTAAGAAGAACGTACAACTTCAACTGATTATTCGACTGCTTATTAAAATCGTGAACTGTCACCTTTATTTAATTTCACAGTCGTCCTCATTTATCACTTTAGATTAACGATATCCCTTGCTTTTTTAATATTTAGCCATTTCGTACATTAAATTAAATTAACTTAATTGTCTTTTCAGAAAATCTGTTCCTTGAGGGGCTGGGCTTCTGGAAGCGACCAATATAAGAAGACTTTCGACAGCATGATTAAAATCTGGGAGGGCTTGAAACAGAGGGCAGACGCCAACAAAGACGGCCAGGTAAATTTAAAATAATGCTAGAAAAGAATTGAAATTTAATTTTCCTCAGTTCCTATTGTGCGGCTGGATATTCTTTAGAGCATTATTATTTCTTGTCATTTTCTGATATTCCTCCGTTTTGTGTAAAAATGGTACAAAATAATCAAAATATACAAGTTTAAAATGACGAACTTCGACAAGAGATGGGTGCAATTAACCATAACAGTGTTTGAGATACAAAGTGTTTTATTTACTTTGAAATTCTAATCTGCTATAACGTTAGAGATGCTGCATATAATCGTGTATACCCTTACAAATACAATTTTGTAAAAAAAATCAAAATGGGCAGTTCGAAAATGATTTAAAAATAAACTTCTGCACGGCACTGGAAACTGGTCCACTGTAAAACCTGACCTCGCACAATGCGACCGGCATGGCGGTGTGATAAAAACGGACAAAAACTTTCGCAAGGAAAGAAATTTTATATCGGCAAATTCAACTGCTTTTGCCTTTATTAATTAATAAAATTAATTTGTGTTTTTAAATAATAAAATTATTTGACATACCCGATGTTACAACAATTGTTCAAAATTTTATCCACCAAT